AGAGAGGCAGAGAGAGAGTGAGACACAGAATCTGAAGCAGGCTTCTGGCTCTGAGCTGTCAGCACTGAATCCAACGCAGGGTTCGAACTTGTGAACTGCGAGATCATGACCTGAGCCGAAAGTTGGATGCTTAACTGACTGAGCCACCCAGGCACCCCTGTAACTTCTTTTTACACTTATGTTTACAGATCTACATCACATTTTCTTTTCAAATAAAATATTTTTTCAAATAATTAGGGAATGAACATATAGCCAAAAAAAGAAACACACACAAAGCTTCTCTAATTACCTGCATCAAACACAATTTTTTTTTTAATTTTTTTTTTAAGTTTATTTATTTTTGACAGAGACAGAGTGCGAGCATGAGCTGGGGAAGAGCAGAGAGAGAGGGAGACACAGAATACGAAGCAGGCTCCAGGCTCTAAGCTGTCAGCACAGAGACCAACGTGGGGCTCGAACCTGCGAACTGTGAGATCATAACCTGGGCCGAAGTCGGACGCTCAACCGACTGAGCCACCCAGGTGCCCCTCGTCAAACACAATTATTAAAACATTACTGTGTTAGCCAAGATAGCTAGTTACAGTAAGAACCCAAGAATTATAATTGGTTATTTTAATAAAATCGGGATTCTCGCTGTTATCATAGTTTGGTGTGAGTCATGTGGCCCCCATCTTCTAGGCAGTGGCTCAAGGAACCAGCACCTTCCATTGTGTGACTTTTTCATCAGCACATTTTTTGTTTCCAGCCATGTTGTCAGAAGGAATGAGCAGGACCCGAGCAGAAGTTATATGGACAAGCCTGGGAATGGCTTAGGTCCCTTTTGTCCACAGTCCTTGGCCAGAATGCAGATGTAAGACTGTAACAAATATAAGATTAGGGGGGTGGCGCCTGGGTGTCTCAGTTGGTTGAGCTTCTGACTTGATGTTGGCTCAGGTCGTGATCCCAGGGGATAGAGCCCCACACGAGGCTCTGTGCTGAGTGTTGAGCCTGCGTCAGATTCTCTCTCTCTCTCTCTCTCTCTCTCTCTCTCTCTCTCCTACTGCTGCCCCTCTCCCCTGCTTGCACTCTATCTCTCCCTCTAAAAAAATTAATAACAATTTAAAATAAAAAAACATAAGACTGGGAAGAGTAATCTTCCTCTGCATGCTGGTGGGCGGAGTCATGGTGAACATATAGCCAAATTACACATTAATCACAAAATTAAACACAAATTACACAATTAAACACAAAACTAAAAGGCAACCGATGGAATGGGAAAAGATATTTGCAAATGACGTATCAGACAAAGAGCTAGTATCCAAAATCTATAAAGAACTCACCAAACTCCTCACCTGAAAAACAAATAATCCAGTGAAGAAATGGGCAGAAAACATGAATAGACACTTCTCTAAAGAAGACATCCAGATGGCCAACAGGCACGTGAAAAGATGCTCAACATCACTCCTCATCAGGGAAATATAAATCAAAACCACACTGAGATATCACCTCACACCGGTCAGAGTGGCTAAAACAAACAAATCAGGAGACCAAAGATGCTGGAGAGGATGTGGAGAAATGGGAACCCTCTTGCCCTGTTGGTGGGAATGCAAACTGGTGCAGCCACTCTGGAAAACAGTGTGGAGGTTCCTCAAAAAATTAAAAATAGAACTACCCTATGACCCAGCAATAGCACTGCTAGGAATTGGCCCAAGGGATACAGGAGTGCTGATGCATAGGGGCACTTGTACCCCGATGTTTATAGCAGCACGCTCAACAATAGCCAAATTATGGAAAGAGCCTAAATGTCCATCAACTGGTGAATGGACAAAGAAGTTGTGGTTTATATACACAATGGAATACTACTTGGCAATGAGAAAGAATGAAATATGGCCTTTTGTAGCAACATGGATGGAACTGGAGAAAGTTATGCTAAGTGAAATAAGTCAGGCAGAGAAAAACAGATACCATATGTTCTCACTCATATGTGGATCCTGAGAAACTTAACAGAAGACCAGGGGGAAGCGGTAGGGGGAAAAAAAGTTACAGAGAGTGAGGGAGGCAAACCATAAGAGACTCTTAAAAACTGAGAATAGACTGAGGGTTGATGGGGGGTGGGAGGGAGGGGAAAGTGGGTGATGGGCGTTGAGGAGGGCACCTGTTGGGATGAGCGCTAGGTGTTGTATGGAAACCAATTTGACAATAAATTTCATTCAAAAAAATAAGCAAAAAAATAATTAATGAGACAATAGCTTTATATTTTACACAGCACAAATTTCTCTTCTTTTGAATATCAACCATCGATGGCTGAATGATCGTACTGCTCATTTCGTGAGACAGTGTCCTCATTAGTCTAGCCATGAATTCCTTTCATGGGTGTATGTATCTGTTTCATTTTTTCCTTATGCCCCAGTCCCGTTTCCTTCTTCCCAATATAGGGTTCATGATAATGCATTAACTCTATGTCTTTACATTCATATGGGTTTTTACAAAATACATGACATTGTTTGGTTTACATATATTTTAATTCACATATTTATGTAAATGTGTGATTATCTCTTTCTTTTTCTTTTGTGCAAACACCGCTATGGTTTTGAGGGACATGCACATTTCTACAGATACTTCTAGTTCATTCTTCTGGTTGCTGCATGATGCTCCACAGTGGAGATCCATTATGATGCTCTAATCCATTTTTTGGTGATGGACAACCAGATTATTGCCAAATGCCTGCCACTTTAAATGCGCTACATTTAATAAGTTTTATATGTGATTTTTCCCTGTGAGAATGCACATGATCTATCTTTTAAAAAATTTTTTTTTAATTATTTTTTTATTTTAAAGAGACAGAGAAAGCCCAAGCAGGGGAGAGGGGCAGAAGAAGAGAGAGAATCTTAAGCAGGCTGTATGCTCAGTGAGGAACCCATCATGGGGCTCGATCCCACGATCCTGGGATCATGACAGGAGCCAAAATCAACAGTTGGACGCCCAACTGACTGAGCCATTCAGGTGCTCCTACATGATATAATCTTTATTTTATTTTATTATTTTTAATTAATTTATTTAAATTCAAGTTAGTTAAAATACAGTGTCATATTGGTTTCAGTAGAACCCAGTGATTCATCGCTTACATAGAACACCCAGTGCGCATCCCAACAAGCCCTCTTTAATGCCCATCACCCATTTAGCCCATCCCCCCACCGTCCTCCCCTCCAGCAACCCCCAATTTGTTCTCTGTATTTAAGAGTCTCTTATGGTTTGTCTCCATCTCTGTTTTTATCTCATTTTTCCTTCCCTTCTCCTATGTTCGTTCATCTGTTGTGTTTCTTAAATTCCACGTATGAGTGAAATCATGTATTTGTCATTCTCTTTAATACGGCTGCTTTTTGTTTCGATGGACCAGACTTTCCAATGATTGTCATGACATCATTTCATTAATTATAGCATTTATTTACATAGATTTTATTCCATTTTAAATGGAGAGACAAATGCATGTGATATAAGTACTCAGAATATAAAAGATTTAACAACGCATCATAATTTAAATATTCTGCAAGGGTAGAAGGATTTCAGAGCCCTTGTCCGATCCCCTTGTTGGTCTGTTTATAAGTATTACTGGTCATACAGAACCAGCACAGGCATCTTATCCAAGTTGTCTAGAAAAAGGCCCTTTCTCCCAGAAAATTGTGAAGCACAGAATTCTCTTTCCTTTTTAAAAATACTTTCTCCTTCTCTGTTTCTGGATGTTCATCTTACCCAATCCTTTCCTTCGAGAACTTGCTCTAAGTTCTGTGTCTGGGTTGTGGCTCCCATCCATCTTATTTTAGGGAAAAAATGTTCAAGACCCAGACTTGGCAGAGAGAGGCTCTTAGGCAACCCATCAGCAATTTTGATGTATTGTTCCATGGATGTTCCTTTTACATAATTTAGCCATGACCTGCATGGTCCCAGAGTCCCAAGTACAGATTTAGATCCTGTCTTAGTCACCTTAGGCTACCACAAAAAAATACCATACACTAGGAGGCATAAACATCAGAAATTTATTTTCTCAAGTTTCCGAGACTGAGAACCCAAGATTTAGGTGCAGAGAGATTTGGTTCCTGGTGAGAGCTCCCTTCCTGGCTTAAAGACAGCTGTCTTCTTGCTACAGCCTCAAATGGCAGAAAGAGGAGAGCAATCTTTCTGATACCTCTTCTTATAAGGGCACTAATCCCATCCTAAGGACCCCCATCTCATGATCTCATCTAAACCTGATTACCTCCCCCAAAGCCCATCTCCAAATATCATTTCACTGGGGATTAGAGCTTCAATATATGATTTTGGAGAGGGGGGACACAGCTCGGTCCATTTTTTAAAATTTATTTATTTTGAGAGAGAGGGAAAGAGCGCATGAACAGGGGAGGGGCAGAGAGAGAGAGAGAGAGAGAGAGAGAGAGAATCCCAGGCAGGCCCCCTGCTGTCAGCACAGAGCCCGATGCGGGGCTCGGTCTCACAAACCACGTGATCGTGACCCGAGCCAAAACCAAGAGTTGGACGCTTAACTGACTGAGCCACCCAGGCACCCCAGATCCTTTCCTTGTGTTGTAGACACTGCACTGACTCTCTATTATGTTAACTGCATGTGATAGTACAAGGGACATTTGTGATGTGTTAAAATCGCCAGCATTGCAACCTGTCTTATACGGCTTCAATCGGCCTCAAAGATCTGGTAGAAGACTGGGGAAGAGGCTTGGTTATACTCAGGGTCTATTTACAAACAGGAAGGTTGCTTCCGGGAAGAAGGATCTATTTACAAACAGGAAGGTTGCTTCCGGGAAGAAGGATCTATTTACAAACAGGAAGGTTGCTTCCGGGAAGAAGGGTCTATTTACAAACAGGAAGGCTGATTATCTGTTGATTCTTTCAAGTCTCAAGGACAAAGTTTCACTTATTAAAACACCCCCTAAACTTCAAAGCGTGCCTTCTTTTTGTTAATTTTTCCATCAGGTTATTATACTTCCTGTAGCTAACCTGTTCCCACTCCTCAGGTTTGGGAGGAAGTTAATTCTCAGGTGGTGTTTCCTCCAGCTCGCCGTTACTGACACCTGTGCAGCCTTCGCACCCACCTTCTTCATTTATTGCACCCTACGCTTCTTGGCTGGCTTTTCTACCATGACCATCCTGACAAACTCTGTGATGCTCAGTAAGTAAAAACTTCGGATATTGACATTCTCCAAACTTAACTTTGACTTTGAAATCCCAACTTTGAAGTCAAAATCCTGCTTGTTTGTTTTTTTGTTGTCGTTGTTCAGTTGTAGAATGGACAGTGCCCCAATTCCAAGCCACGGGAATAGCAATGATCACCTGTGGTGCTTGCGTAGGACAGATGATCCTGGGAGGACTGGCTTTTGCCATTCGAGACTGGCATACCCTTCAGCTGGTGACTTCTGTACCATTATTTGTCCTTTTTCTCTCCTCAAGGTATAAGCTTTCTTTCTCCCTTTGTCTTAGAGGATACTGGATGCAAGATACATGGAATGAGGACATAAGAATTCTGTTTGATCTTTAGTTAACACTTGAGCACATGCTCTCCTGATAAGTCTCCAGTGTACAGGTCAAGAAGCTCAACACGTAGGGTTGTCAGATAATATCAAGGACACTCCGTTAAATTTGAAATTCAGATAGATAATACATTTGTGTGTGTGTGTGTGTGTGTGAAACATTCCAAATACTGCAGGAAGCATAGCTACACTAAAAATTATCCATTGTTTATATGAAATTCCTGTTTATTTGAGATTTCTGTGCTTTTATTTACTAACCTGATAAAATACAGGGCATCTCGTTAAAGTAAAATTTCAAGTCAACAAATACTTTTCAGTGTAAGTGTGTCCAAAATATTGCATGGGACATAGTGATACTCAAGAGTTACTCATATTCACTGTTTGTCTAAATTCGGATTTAACAAGGCACGTTATTTTGATTTGCCAAACCTGGTAACATCCCCCTGAATAAGATGGGGGCGCAATATGACTCCTACTCAATGTTGCCATTAGTGAAAGTGTACTGCTTGGAGAGGTTATCCTTACAGTTTCCTAGTTACAGAATCAGCTGCTTTTCTATTGGCTGGCACAACAAAACAAGAGGTAGGTATCAGATGGGAGGGCAGAGGCATTTCAGGCCAAAGAATGTGTGAGAAATGGGCACATGAGAATTGGCTGCACCTGTCTGTCTTCTTTGATCAGGTGGCTGATGGAGTCTGCTCGGTGGCTGATTATGACCAACAAACCCGAGGAGGCCTTAAAGGTACTTAGAAAAGCTGCACTCTGGAACGGAAGGAAGAATGCTGGAGACGCCCTAACCATGGAGGTAAATAGGAAAGAGAGTTGGTTATGGGGTGTAGGGGAGACACAGCCTGACATATGCATTAGGTGGTGTCCGTGAGGTGAAAAAAGGGCGGGAACACAAGTCTGGCTTGGGGTCTTCTCTCCTCATTGTCCTGGTTCTCAATGGCTGTCAGCATTGTTTGAGTTAATATAAAGAGAGAGTATCCTGTTGCTGAGAACAAGACATGTATGTTTTACTCAACAGGACCAGATAGCTCTTAGTGTTTCTGGTTGTAAAATTGTGTATTTGTCTCTATGTTAGAGAAAAAGTAACAAAGACTAATCCATTTCTTTCCACTAATATTCTGACGGCCTTTGTTCAGGATAGTTAAGATCAGTCGAAGGGAGGCTTAGGGACCATGCAGAATAGAGCATAAGGAGGATCACTTATTTGTTAATTAGGTCATACACTCTTTCATTAATGGTGTATTACTGAATGCCTCCCTGGGCCACTTCTGTTCTCTCCAGGAAATATGGCATTGGCCACAACAATCCAAATCTGCTTTTTGGAGTTTACATTCTACTTATTACAAGTTCCAAGAGCATGACTCAGTGGAAATGCCTCAGAGAAGCCTTTTTTTTTTTTTTTTCACCCTGGGCTTGGAAGGCAGATATTGATGTGGGTCATAAAGTAAACCATTCATCATGTCACGAACGTATAACTTATTTATCAAAATATCATAATGTGCTAGGCGCGGTGCTGGATCTTGACCAGCAGTGTGGTTCAGAATTCCATGTTTTAAGGAACTTTAGTATTAATAAGAGAAAAATTCATATTCATTTTTAAATTAACATGGATTATCTCTTCTTAAATTTTTAACTGTACAATACAGTATTGTTAACTCTAAGTACAATGATCTCTAAAACTTTTTCATCTTGCGTGACTGAAACTCTCTACCCATTGAAATGCAATTTCCCATATCCTTTGTCCCTAGTCCCTTGTCAACCATTCCATTTATTGTCTTATTATTTTAGTATTTTATATACTTCATATAGGTGGAATCATGCAGTGTTTGTCCTTCTGTGACTGCCTTATTTAACAAAAAGTCCTCAAGACTCATCTATGGTAGTAGTGTATAGCAGGATTTCCTTTTTTTATGGATGAATAATATTCTGTTGTATGTATACACCACATTTTCTTTGTCCATTCATCCACTGATGGTCATTTAGCTTGCTTCCATGGTTTGGCTGCTGTTGCAATGAACATGTGGATGCAAATATCTCTTCTCTGTTTATAATTCTTTGGGATACATAACCGGAAGTGGTGTTGCCAGATCATATGGTATTTATAATTTTTTTTTCAACGTTTATTTATTTTTGGGACAGAGAGAGACAGAGCATGAACGGGGGAGGGGCAGAGAGAGAGGGAGACACAGAATCGGAAACAGGCTCCAGGCTCCGAGCCATCAGCCCAGAGCCCGACGCGGGGCTCGAACTCCCGGACCGCGAGATCGTGACCTGGCTGAAGTCGGACGCTTAACCGACTGCGCCACCCAGGCGCCCCTATATGGTATTTATATTGTTAAATTTCCTGTTGGCAATGATAAGAGAATGGAGAGAAAGCTAATAGAGACAAGGAAAAAATCATCTACCCTTGTTTAATTGAAAAAGGGAAGGCTTAGGGTTTAGACAGTCAAAGAGGAGCAATAAAACATTGCTGGAAACAAGTTCAATGCACATCTGAAAGATTTTTCTTTTTCTTTTTCTTTTTTTAATGTTTATTTATTTATTTTGAGAGGGGGAGGAGAGGCAGACAGAGGAGAGAAAGAATCCCAAGCAGGCTTATATGCTTAGTGCGGGGCCCAACATGGGGCTTGATCTCATGGCTGTGAGATCATGACTGGAGCTGAAATCGAGAGTCAGACACTTAAACGACTGAGCCACCTAGGTGCCCCGAAGGATTTTGCTTAAAACAACTTTATCGAGGTATGATTAACATACAAAAAGCTGTACATATTTAATTTATACAACTTGGTGAATCTGATAAGCACACATCCAAACATCATTACCACCACCTATGCAATCAACATATCCATCACCTCCTAAAACTTTCTCCCGTCCTTTTTATTCATTACTTTTTGTGATAACACTCAATAATACACCTACTAATAGCAAATTTTCAATATGTAGTACAGTATTATAACTATAGACAGCCGTACAGTGGATCGTTAGGACTGATTCACCTTGCGTAACTGGAACTTTGTACTCTTTGACAAATATGTCCCCATTTCCCAAATCCCCCAGCAGCTGGCAAACACCATTCTGTTCTCTGCTTCTTTATTTCCAGTCTTACATCTTAGTCTCTAACCTTTTGTGAATTGATTTTTGTGTACAGTGTAAGATAAGTTTCCAGTTTCATCCTTTTATATGTGAACATCCAGTTTTCCACAACACCATTTATTGATGACACTATCCTGTCCCCACTGTGAATTCTCGACACCACTGTCCAAGATCACGTGACCGCATATGCTGAGTTTATTGCTATTCTGCTCCATTGGGCTGTAGGTCTGTTTTTATACCAGTACCGTAGTCTTGGATACGGTGGTTTTGTAATATATTTTGAAATAGGAACATGTGACACCTCCAGCTTTGTTTTCCATTTAAAACTTCTTTTGATTATTAAGGGCCTTCTGTATGAATTTCTGGATTTTTTTCTTTCTTTATTGAAGAACAGTTGACACACAATGTTACGTTAGTTTCAGGGGTACAACACAGTGAATCAACAGCCTTATATATTATGCTATGCTCAACACAAATGTAGCTACTATCTGTCACCATACAACACTATTACACCATTAACTATACTCCCCATGCTGTACTTTTCTACCACATGACTTATTCATCCCACAACTGGAAACCTATACCTCCCACTCCTCATCATCCAATTTGCTCACCTCCCACCCCTCTGGCAGCCATCAGTCTGTTCTCTATATTTACTAATCTGTTTCTGTTTTTTTTTTTTAGTTTGTTTTGTTTTGTTGATCCCACAGATAAGTGAAAACTTGTGGTATTTGTCTTTGTCTGATTTATTTCACTTAGCATAATATCCTCTAGGTCCATTGATGTTGCCACAAATGGTAAGATCTCATTCTTTTTTATGGCTGTATGGGCATATATGTGTATGTATACATATTTATGTATATGTATCTATATACATATACATACATTATATACATACATATATATTATACACGTACCACATCTTCTTTATCCATTCATCTCCAAGGGGCATTTGTGTTGTTGCCATATCTTGGCTATCGTAAATAATGTTGTAAGAAATATAGGGGTGCATACGCCATTTTGAATTAGTGTTTTTGTTTTCTTTGAGTAAATACCCAGTAGTAGAATTACTGGATCATATGGCATTTCTATTTTTAATTTTTGAGGAACCTCCATGCTGATTTTGGCAGTGGCCACACCAATTTACATTCCCACCAACGGTGTTGTATCCTCTTATTGGATTGTTCCCTTTATCATCAGGCAATGTCCCTCTTTGTCTCTTGTTACTGTCTTTGTTTTAAAGTCTAGTTTACCTGATATAAGTATTATTACCCCAAATTTTGTTTTCGCTTCCATTTGCATGGAATATTTTTTTCCCCATCCCTTTGCTTTCAGTGTGTCCGCGTCTTTAGGTCTGAAGTGAGTCTCTTGTCAGCAGCATATGGATGGGTCTGGTTTTTTGTTTTTGTTTTTTTTAATCCATTCTGCCACCCTATGTCTTTTGATTGGAGCATTTAGACCATTTACATTTAAAGTAATTATTGATATATATGTACTTATTGCCATTTTGTTAATTGTCTTCTGGTTGTTTTGTAGCCCTTCTTTGTTCCTTTCTTCTTCTTTTGTCCTCTTTCCTTGTAATTGATGACTCTCTTTAATGTTGTTCTTGGCTTTCTTTCTCTTTATTTTTTGTCTATTATAGGTTTTCTTATCTTTATTTTCATGAGGTTCATATATAGCATCTCAAGTATACAGTAGTCTATATTAAGTTGATGATTACTTAAGTTTGAACACATTCTAAAAGAACTTCCTCCGTATCCCCTTCTCCACATTTTATGTATATATTGTCATATTTTACATCATTATTTTGTGAGTTCCCGAAACTAATTCTTTACATGTAATTGATTTTACTAGTTTTGTCTTTTAACCTTCATCCAGCTTTCTAAGTGATTGCTCTACTACCTTTCCTGTAAATTTGCTTTTATTTATGAAAATGTTTTCCTTTTAGAGTTTTCTCACTTCTAATTATGGTCTTTTCTTTGCCACTTAAAGAAGTCTCTTTAGCATTTCTCATAGGGCCAGTTTGGCGGTGATGAACTTTTTAAACTTTTGTTTGTCTGGGAAACTCTTGATCTCTCCTTCAATTGTGAATGATAATCTTGCGGGGTAGAGTATTCTTGGTTGTAGGGTTTTTTTTTTTTCCCCTCTCAGCACTTTGTTTTTTTTTTGTTTGTTTGTTTGTTTTGTTTGTTTTTCTTAATTTTTTTTCAATGTTTATTTATTCTTGGGACAGAGAGAGACAGAGCATGAACGGGCGAGGGGCAGAGAGAGAGGGAGACACAGAATCGGAAACAGGCTCCAGGCTCTGAGCCATCAGCCCAGAGCCCGACGCGGGGCTCGAACTCACGGACCGCGAGATCATGACCTGGCTGAAGTCGGATGCTTAACCGACTGCGCCACCCACGCGCCCCTCCCTCTCAGCACTTTGAATATGCCACTCCCTCTGGCATGCAAAGTTGCTGCTGAAAAATCAGCTGATAGTCTTATGGAGTTTCCCTGGCCTCTAACTAGTGGCTTCTCTCTTGCTGCTTTTTAAAATTCTCTCTTTATCTTTAACCTTTGGCATTTTAATTGTCATGTGTTGTGAAGTAGAACTCCTTGGGTTCATCTTTTTTGGGGGCTCTCTCTAATGCTTCCTAAATTTAGGTGTGTTTTTCTCTGCCCGGGATAGGCAACTTTTCATCTATTGTTTCTCCAAATAAG